TAGAAGACCCAAAAAACTCCACCAAGAAGCTACTAGAATTAATACAGAAATTCAGTAGCATAGCAGGTTATAAAGTCAATACCCGAAAGTCAATAGCATACCTCTACGCAGAGAACAAACACACTGAGAGGGAAATTACAGAAACAATATCTTTTACAACAGCACAGCGGAAAATGAAATACCTTGGAATTAATCTAACTAACGAAATCAAAGATCTTTTCAAGGAAAATTACAGTACTCTTAAAAAAGAGATCCTAGAGGATTTTAGAATATGCAAAATATTCCATGCTCCAGGCTAGGAAGAACCAACATTGTGAAGATGACCGTACTCCCATAATTGTTGTACAGATTTAATGCAATCCCTATCAAACTAGCACCAACATACCTCACAGGCATAGAGAAAACATTCCTAAAATTTATCTGGATCTGGAAAAGACCGAGAATAGCAAAGGCAATTCTAGGCAATAAAGACAAGGCAGGAAGCATTACAATTCCTGACTTGAAACTGTACTAAAAGGCTACTGTGATATAATCAGCATGGTACTGGCATCAAAATAGACCTGAGGATCAATGGAAAAGATTAGATGATGCTGAAACCCCTACGAACACACTCAACCACCTTATCTTTTACAAAGGGGAGAAACATACTCACTGTAAGAAAGGTAGCCTCTTTAAAAATGGTGCTGGAAAAACTGGCTGTGTACATACTGAAAACTCAAACTTCACCAGGGTCTATCACCATGAACTAAACTAAAGCCAAAATGGATTAAAGATCTAAACATTAAAGCAGAGACACTAAACATCCTGGAAGAGAAAGTAGGAGGAAATCTTCGAGATATAGGTGTAGGCAAAGAGTTCATAGACAGAAATGAATTCGCATGGGAAACAGTTGAAAGAATTAACAACTGGGACCTGCTCTTACTGAAAAGTTTCTTCACTTCAAAAGAAATTACCAACAAAGTGAAGAGGCAACTCACAAATTTGGAAAAAATCATGACAAATACGTACTCAGACAAAGGTCTGATATCTAGAATCTCTAAAGAACTAAAAAATACTAGGGCCCCAAAATTTATTTATTTTTTTTAAATTTTATTGATAAACAGATAGCAATGAGACAGTTTCAAATCAAATCGGAAGTACAGTTTCAACAAATAATACACTGCATATATTCTTCCTAGTGGTTAATTGATGTATAAGATGCGGACTTGAGATCCTATTTACAAACACCATTAGAACAAATCATTCTATTCATTAAGAGAAAGCAACTATATATCTATCCTAACCACTTTGAATACACAGATACAAAATGGACATTCATCGGTATACCCCAATTTTTCTAAATTCTGTTATTGAATATTATAGGTGTATAAACTCAGCAAAATATTCTAAAAGAGTCCAGTAGCCCATAATAGTATTGTGTCATCTGTTTAACTGGCAGTGTCAGGAATTATTGACCTGAGTCCCCCACAGCTCAACATAACA